AGATGCATCTCATCAAGACAATGTCTTACACCAAAATTAGACCAGTATGGAAGATCAAAGAATACTGACCTCTTTTTCCAAATATTTTTCTCTGCAGACTTTTTTTGTTTCTTTTCAAAGACAACCTTAATGTTTTGTTATTTTCTATAAACTTCCTTCCCATTTAAAGGATTTGGAGTGGTATCTAAATCCTGTTATTCATTAAAAGCATTTCGCAATCTACGATATGGATGATTAAGTCTTAGAAATTTTCGATACCCAAGATAAACTGTCTTTTTCCATTTTGTAATTGGTGGTGACATGCATCAACTTCACATATAGGACACACTCTATGTCCCTTGATGCTGTATCCAAACAAATTACCGCATGCAGAAAATTCATTTATTGTGAAAAATAATATGGCACACAACTTAAAGTTATCATATGTATAAACATCATCAACATCAACAACTTCCTCCAACAAAAATCTTAAATCTTCAATAAATGGTGTTAAACAAACATCAATATCGTTGCCTAATTTTTTTTTACCCAAAATCATCATTGATAGCATATATACTTGGCTTCGTACACAATTATGGAGATAGGTTGTAAATTATGAGAAGAGCAGGCCATTTCCTATAGTTAGTACTCATATTACCAAAAGGGTTCATTCCGTCAGTGGCAAGTCCAAGCCTAAGGTTCCTCGGTTCAAGGGAAAAATCTGGATACAAAGAATCAATTTTCTTCCATTGTAATGAATCAGCTACATGGCGAATTTTTCCATCACACACTATTTCATCTGCATGCCATCTAGTATTCTTTGCGTCACTAACATTAGTAAACAATCTCTTGAACCTTGGAATTATCAGTAGGTACCGCATCACCTTGGAAGGAACATCCTTGCTAGTTACAACATCATCGTCATCAACACCATTGTCCTTCTTCTTGTAGTGTGACTCCCCGCACCTTGGGCACTCCTTTAAGTTTTCAAAAAAATTCTTATATAATATGCAATCATTACGACATGCATGTATTTTGACATAGTCCAAACCCATTGGGCACAATATCTTCTTGGTCTCATAAATATGGTTCGGCGTGTTACCTTTGGGAAATATTTCTTTCAACAATTCAAGCAATTTAGTGAAACTTTTATCCGTCCATCCACCTTTTTCCTTAAGATTAAATAGTCTTAACACAACTGACAATCTTATAAAAAATTTATATCCCGGATACCATGAATCTTCCATGTCTCTTGGCAAGGTATCTACCATTGATGTCTTCTTGAAAGCATCAACTCCAATATCACAAATGATGTCTTTTAGAGTATCATTCATAACTTCATCATCTTCAACTGTATGTGACAGAGGTCCCTCTTTTGTCGTTTCACCATGCCATACCCATTTCGTGCAATTTTAAATAATTCCATCACAACCATAATGATTGAATATAACATCCCTATCATTTTTTTTCTCGTATTAAAGCAGTTTTTACAAGGTCAATAAAAAATCTCATTATTGTTAGGAAGGTTTTTTTCAGCGAAATCAAGAAATTGTTTCAATCCATTCTCATATTTAAAATTTATCACGGTTATACTGAAAATCAAGGTAACATATCCGACGTAAAACTTTAAAAAATAAAGGCGTCTTTTTGGTTCCAAAAAGAATAAAAAATTTAGATATTATTTATCTAAAAGCCGAGGTAACATATCTGACGTAAAACCTATGAAAATTAAAGGCATCTTTTTTGTTCCATATAAAATATAAAACTGCAGGAGTTGAGAATCGAATCTCAAACACTGAGCATATTGTTATATCTCCTTTACAAAAAAAATCGAGGTAACATATTGATTTTTAAAAAAATATAAATACAAGGAGCTTCCTTTACATAAACCCTCGGTTTTATACTGTACGTTGTGAAAGTTTCATCATAAAAAGAGTTATTTGTTGTAGCGCTTAAGCCATCTAGCCTTGGCTCTTTGGGACAACTGGGAATCCTTCAACCTAAGCAAAAAACCAGAGATCAACAATGAATTTAGATATAAAATCCACTTCCTTCTTAGAAAGGGGATTGATGCCAACACATCAAGATTGTCCACTACTTCCCTAAAAGACTTAAGCTAAGAATTTAGATCTCCAAACACACTCTTATTCCAACTTTTAAGGTTGACCTTAAGGGATTGAAGCTTACCCATAAGGGTAAAATCCTTCCACCCCCCATTAGAAGAAGCCAACCAAGAATTAAGGGCCAAGTCAGGAAACTCAGGATGAGACAACAAATGAGGATTGAATCATTTTTTTCCCGCTCTTATAATTGATTTTAATACTTCAAAATAATAGGACAATGATCAGGCAAATCTCTTTGGAGAATCCATTGAGCAACTATCTTCTAGAGGCTTCACCAATCATCAGAGATCCAAATGTGATCAAGCCTATTAATTGCCCCACCAAAAGGTTGAAACCATGTAAAATTTCTACCTAACAATGAAAGGTTCATCAGGTTCATTTGAGTTATGAAGTAAGAGAACTCAAGACACTCAACATTTGGTAAAGATAAGGAAACACCATTGCCCCTCTCTTCCTATGCGGTGAGACAGACGCATTGAAGTCACCATGTATGCACCAGATCTCACCACCTAAGTTGGACTTATGGGAATAAAGATCATCTCACATACTCCTCTTATTAGCAAGCAAGATTTTAGAGTAATCACTATACACAAAATAGTCTAACTTCTCAATTCCCCACTCTAAATAGTTACCCATAAAATCAGGACCTAAAAAGGAGAAAATAGCTCTCCTTTTAAAACTACACCAAATCGAAAGGAGGCCTCCACTATTACCCGCTGATGGTTTAAAACTCCACTCACTAAACGAATTCCCCCAAAGGGAATGGATCAAAGAATTAGAGACAAAAAGAAGTTTTGTTTCTTGAATAGCCACAAATTTCAAAGAATTAAGACAAATGAGATCCCTAATATTCATTCTTTTTATACTACTCCCTAATTCCCTAATGTTAAAAGAATAAACTAATTAACATCTACCCCTCTCCTTTGACGAGCGACATGCTCTCTTATTCCTATATCTTCAATCCAACGCCACAAGATCTTTCAACACCACATCATCACTAACCAGATGCTAACATCCTAACTGTTTGGTAATCCTATGAGTTTTCTTAGCAACTACACTGTTAATCTCTTTGGACACTTTAGATAAGTTCCGTATAGTCAATAAATGTGAAGGAGAAGAATTTGTCAAGCCTTTTAAACAAACCGATAAGCAAAACCCCTAAAAAATCAACCCTTCCCCTGGAATTGGCGTAGAAACGCTATCCTGCATGCAAATACTAATATCAACACAAAAGTTAAAAGAAGGATTAGGCATACCTAATTTTGAGGATGGGGTGGAAAATACCTAGATCAAATGATCTAAAAATGAGAACTAGAATTAGGTCTGAGCTTGACATCTAATGATCTAAGTAAAAGGTATTGGAATTTAATCTTACATTTCAGCTATCTCTAATTTTTCTTTCAATCAAATCTTAACTATATTTTTGAAATTAAAGGATGAAGGATATTTGCTTCCAATCCTCCCACATGCTTCGGATAATTTCACATTCTTTAGTAAAGTAGTTTGTGAACATGTAGAGTGTTATGTTAAAAAGAAGGAATTTATGGATCTATTAAAAAAACTTGTGATTGAAAAGTTCACATTCCTAGCTTGTAACATCGAGCACATGCGAATAAAATATTTCAAGAATATTTTTTTTAGTCAATTTCTTCATTGTGACTCAAACAATGCGAAATATACTATCACTGCAAAACAGTACAAAAGTTAAGAGTTGGTATGCAATCTTCATTCACAAAAGTCCATCTCCTTATGATTGCAACAGGAGACAAGAAAGTTGCTACAATGAAGAGATACCATGTACAGCTAGCAAATTCTTCAAGAATGTGATTCATTAAATTTCACAAAAAATCAATTAAATTTATAAGGTTTTTAATATATCATATTTTATTTTTAATTCCGAAAAAATTTCCCATAAATAATGGTTCTTTCAAAATTTATTATTCACATTTTTTCACTCTTGCAATTTAACAATAATTTTTACAACCTAGCAACAAAGTTAATGGCGGTTTTATTCATAGTTAATTATTTAACGACGGATTTAATAAAATAGACAAAAAATATAGATGAAATTTTTTAAAATAACTGTTCCTTAAAAAAAATTAAGAATCTAAAAATAAAATATAAAATATTTAGAAAAACCACCGACATATTTAACTCATTCTATAATTATTCTTTAATCTTTGAAGTCTATTCTAAATCTAGTAATTAATAAACTTTAGAATCAATTCATGTAATATTTTATATATGTTTTGCACACAACTGTAAATATTAATTTTTATTTTTCACATTAATCTCTCAAATTAAAAAAAAATTAAAATAAATGACAAAATTTTCTTTTAAAAAATTTGATACTATACAAATTAAAAATTGGATTCCAACTCAAGACTTATAAATAAATAAGAAGAAATTATATAAGTTCAAGTAAGTGTTCCATGAATGATATATCCCATTTTATCATAACTTTTCAAGAAACAAAAGATGAGATTTGTATACATAAAGAATATATCAGTTTTATGAGCTAACCAACCACTAATTGATTGCAAGTGGTTGTACTTGAAAATATGAATACTAGTGTTCTTCATTATCTTATATGAATGTCACTTCAATTAGAGAGATGTGACAACACTTTGTTAATTGTCACTTCCAATATCATCTCTTTCATAATAATAGACTACTCTTTTATTTAATTTAGCTTTCAAATAAAACATATATATGCATAAAAAACTCATAATATAAATCACAACTTTAACCTTAATTATCCTTAATCTTAGTATGTTACACTAAACTAATCTCTATCAATGAGACAATTTAGTCACTTAGAATCAATATAATAATAATAGAATCTTTATAACTATTTTTCTTATTAACTTTTAGTAACACTTTCTTGTAAACAAACTGTCATATAGTATCCATGTTCCACAAATTGCTATTATTAGCCATGTTGTCTAGCATCCATCCATTCCCTGAAGTTTGAAAATCAAACTGTGAAAAGTCATAATTTTCCATTGAAGATAATGGATCGAAGCTTAAACCTTCCAAGCCGTAGGAATTTGTATCATCAAAATAGAAATTGTCTTGGATTTGACAATTGTAAACATTGTTTTCCAACATGTTGGGAACATTTTTTGAGGTTTCTGAAGTTTCTAGTGGCTGTGAGAATTGGAAGAAATCCAAAGAAGGATTATTGAAGCTATGATTTCCACTTGAAGCATCTATGAATCCTCTTTGTGAAGGAACATTGAAGCTTGTTGAGATTGAGTTACTGGTTGAAGCTTCGATGGAGTTTCCGAAATTGTTCATGTTTGTCATAGAAGAATGATCAGAGATGGGAGATGAGTTGTTGTTCTGTTCCATCTTTTGAAGTAATCTTGGCATCCAAAAACACTTAACAGCATCAATGAATCTCTTGCTACCGGATTCGATGTTTAGTTGCCGCGCTTGTTTTTGCACCCTTGTTCGCCAATAGTTCTTGATCTCATTATCTGTTCTTCCCGGTAGATGTTGCGCAATTTTCGACCACCTATGTTCAAATAAGCACAAAAAAACATGTTAAATTCATTGTGCTCGCACAAGATTATCTCTAGATACAATTGTAGAGGAAATTGGCTGAAATCTCTGCGTGTCAGAAACTAATCTGACGAGTTAACATAGATTTCAGTATATAGTTCCAGAGACTAATCTGATGAACTGGCGAGATTTTTTTTTAAAATTGATATATGTAAATAGGTAAGAATTTGAATTGCATGCATTTACGCGGTCAGTATATAAGTGACGGTTGAATCAAGATGGGTTATTATTACCTATTACCCCATTTGGAATGAAGTTCAAGGATCAACAACTGTTCTTGAGGAGTAAGATTCCCTCTTTTAATGTCAGGTTTCAAGTAATTGAGCCATCTGAGTCTACAGCTTTTTCCAGTCCTCTTCAATCCTAAAATGTTGGAATTAACAAAAACATTGTCAAAACAAAGTTAAAACAACATGTGATTGAACATGTTATTCCTCTAATTAACCTTAAATGACACATAAGAATCTAAATATACCTGCACTTTTGGCTAACATATTCCAACGACCTTCACCATGACGAGCAATATAGTGTATTAGTAAACTATCTTCTTCAAGAGTCCATGGTCCTCTTCTCAGCTCATTTTCTTCATCTTTCTTTGTAGTTTTTGACATAGCTAGTGTTCTAGTGGTGTTCAAGATCAAAGAAATTGAAGATGGAATTGTAGGTGTGTGTGTAACATGGTACATGTTCATGTGCTTTTATATATGCTCCTCATGGAATTTCACTATATGGGTTTGGTAGACTAGGTTCTAGGGACTAATAGCCTATACCTTAGCACCTAGAATAAACAAAATCTGATTTTTATATATATATTTTAAAGTAGGTCCCATTTATTTTTATGCAAAATACAATGAATAGATAAAATTGCAAGTAAGTAGTTTCCCCATTGCATTACTTTTTTCTCCCTCTAAACAAACACCAATGAAAAAAAACAGAATATTCTGCTAACTAAGAAAGGTTTTGAAGATGAGGAAATCACTATATCAAGAATTGACATATTGAGGTTAAGAATAATCATATAAACCTAAATTGAAAATATCATTATCATTTAAAAAAAACTATTTGCACCTGCTGAGATATTATGAGAATGTGTTTGAGATATTAGAGAATGCGTTATTATCGATATTGTTATTTAATGTTTTTATGTTAAAGAATAAATTGTGATTAATTTATACTGCGACGACTGCAATCAATAATATAACACCTATACTCTTTTTTAATCTTAAAAAAGTTTACGCGACCGAAAAACATGAGTTCGAAGATTATAATTCAGCCTGATAAAATATTTTTTTCATAATCCATTTTAATTGTCTAATTGGGGCATTTAGCCTGATAGCCTCCAAAATCTATATTAAAAAAAATGAATTTAGTCTCACATTATTTAAAAATATATTATATTATTTATAAAATTTGATCAACTTTCAATTTACAAGTCAGTTTCTTTTAAAATAAATGATTTTGAATATTTTGTTGTTAATATGATAATTAGTCTCTTAAAATTGATAAAAAAATGTGAATAATTGAGGTACTTTCTAAAGTCAAATATCTTAAATAAAATATGTATTTATTATTATATTCTAATAATATTATTATATACAATATTAGCTAATAATAGTTAATAAGTTGTAATCTACTCATCTATAACCAGATGTCATTCTTTTTATGTTCTATGTGAATTAATTTAAAAAAATAATATAAGCGATAGTATAATTATAAGTACATTCTATTATTCTATTATACTTATATTTGTTCAATTATATCCAATCAATTATATCCTCTCTTAGCTTTTGAAGCAAGAATCCTTCAGTCATTTACTAAAGGAAAATCCTTCTGTCATACATTTCAAAGTGAAGACTTTAATTTAAGCTCTTCTGTTTCTTGTATAGAATCATTAGTTGCCACGTGGCTAAACACCTAATGTTCTATTCTAGAAAAAGGGTTATCTTTATCTACATAGGGAAATTTAACCCATCACTTCACTCACCTCTCCTATATATGAATTTATTCCTATTAGGGTAAATACTAAGCTAGATATTAGTCTTCATAAATCAAAACTTATTTTGAAAAAAAAAAGTTAGTAACTAAATTTAAAATGAGAAAACTTAGTAATCTGTAAGATCCATAGCAAAAAACTTAGTAGTTCATAAATCAACTACTAATTTTATCTTTGATAAACACAATAAGTAGTTACTTGCTTATTACGTAATTAATAAGCTATTATTGAAGGAAATGATTCATGGAATGGACCCCATTAGCTAGTACAAATACTGTAAAATTCTAAGTAATATACAGTAAATACTATATAGATATAAGAAACGTGTTTGACTGAAGAAAAGTAGAGAAGAAAGTAGAAGAAATACAATGTAAGAGAGATAGGTAGCATATGAACCGGCGGTGAAGCAGGGGTTATTTAGCAATTAAATTAAATTTGAATAAGTAATATACAGTAAATATTATTTTATATAAATAAGTTGTTTTGGATGTATAAATCGGTTGCCTTTTCTACCTGGATATTTTGATTTTATTACATTACAAAAACTACATGCATTATTTTGATTTTATGATAAAATATAACTTATTTTTATTTGTAAAAGATTTTCCTTTTAATTGTTAAAATGTTTAGCTCACATACACTTATACCAAAACTAATTCTCAAATCAGATTAATCGATCAAGTGGGTCAAAAATGATAATGAAAACCACACACGCGCGCACATGCACACGCACGTGCGTGCGCACATACACACATAATAAATTTCAACAATATGGAGGATTGAACGTAATTCTCCCTATCAAGTTCAGCGTCAATCACCACTGAACCAACTAGCGTTTGGTTATAACAATATATTAAAAATGGTACATATGAACTTCTTGGCTGATAGATGTTCTAGTGCACAGGTGAATAGGAGAAAAACATATATGTAAAGACTTGATTCAGGTTTTTCCACTTATGGAACTAAGGATTGATGGTTTATGATGGAATAAGCAGTACTTAAAGTCCCTGCAAGTTAACTAGTTAAACATGAGAAACATTATTCTTACGATCAACGTGTTTTAATACCATTTGTATGCACTTGACACTATTAGCTTTAGATATTGTAGTTCTTTTATAAAAATTCTATAGACTCATAGATAACAATGTTGTATCCCTTAGAATTATGGACATTTTTTTAAGAGGATTGATTTTTACCATCTAAAAAGAATAACAACACTTAGAAGAACATCATACTTAAATTCATAAATACTAGGTATAGCGACGACAATTCTATATTACAATAATCAAGTATATAGCGGCGATAAATTTTAATCATTCTAAATTATTAATATCAATCAAGTGTATAACGACGATAATGTGACAATTTTGATCATTTTATATTGTTAATATTAATTAAGTATATAACGACGATAAATTTGTTGCTAAATCTGTCCCTTAGTAGAACATCATACTTAAATTCATAAATACTAGCTAATCCGAAGATAATTCATAGCAAGCACAATCTCTAAATTTTTAATTTTTTTTATCCTAAAGAGATGTTTGTAATGACCTAAACTTGGATTCTTTTTCATAATTTTTTGCATTCAAGTTTATCACGTTATAAGAATTTACTGACAAAAATTAGAGTCTTTTTTTTTTACGTAAGATGAATTAAATGTGAATTTTTAAACGTCGGTTTTTTATGAAATATAAACAATACAAACATTAACATATGATTGACTTTTGAGATAATATTCAGCAGAAACTTCCTGAATAATACATAGAAAGAATCTATAAATTTTGTGGCATTTTGAGCAAACCTCAATTTGTTTTGATTTTTTGACCGAAACATATATAAATGTATTTTTTGCAAGAGGCAGAAACAACCTAATCATACGTCACATATCACATTTTTATTAAAAAATTTGCAGAGATTTCTATGACAAAAATGGAGAGGAAATGCAAATTTTTGTAGCATTATGCGGATACCTTAATTTATTTTGACTTGTTTCCTCGTAAAAACAATTCACGCATATCTGTTTTAGTTGAAAAATCAAAATACATTGAGGTTTTCATGAAATATCATGAAACTTTGCATATCCTTTCTATGTGTTATGCAAGTATTGGCAAAACATTATCTCAAAATTCAATCATAGACCAAAATTTGCATTGTTTCTATTTCTTGAAAAACCGACACTTAAAAAATCATATTTAATTCATCCCACGCAAAAAATAAACTCCAAATTTTGTGGGAGAGATCCTTATAAAGTGATAAACTTGAATGCAATTTATTAAAAAAAAAGCTAAGTTTAGTTTATTACAAGCATTTCTTTAAGATGCAAAAAATTGAAGAATTAAGAGGTTGGGTCAGCTACAAATTAGCTTCAAATTAGTTGAGGATTACCTATCATGTTTATGGGTTTAAGTATGATGTTCTTCTAAATGACGGGTTTAGTGACAAATTTCATCACAGTATACTTGATTAATGTTAATAATATAAAGTGGTCAAAATTTCCATGTGGCATGCCATGTCAGCATAATTGTCACTTTAGCATTGTCACATGTACGTCTAGTCACCAAAAAATTCCACATGACATGCTACATTAGCTTATGTTAGGGGACGTATACGAGAGAGACCAAAAGTATGGACAAAAAACATTAGGAGGACCAATGTTTTAAGGAAATTTTTTTAGGGACTAATGAAGTTGCATGTCTCTGGTACATTAAGGGGGAGACCTCGATGTGGTTTTGTTGCTTGTATTTTAAGCTTTACTTTAATTGTAGTTTTACATTTAAGTCTCCTCTTCAATTGTGCATCTTTAAAGATTAATTTTTGAATTCCTATTTTAGCATACATAATTTAAACAGTTTGTGTTTGAGTATGAACATTATGCTTTAAGTAAATTAGTCTATTTTTTGGATCAAGAACCATAATTTGGAGATTGGTTCAAGTCATGTCACAAGTAAAATCTCAAAATATCTTTGAAAACTTCAAAATTTGAGATTTTATATGTGTGATTTGAATCACACAATCCCTTGAGTCGAATCAAATTGAACATAGAGGAACATGAAGTTATGTGAACTTGTGAAACAAATCACAACTTACACGTGATTTGCGTCGTGCAATTTGTGATTTGAATCACTTCAGAAGGTGGCAAGAAACACAAGAAATAGAGGTTTGAATTTGGTTCCAAGATTAAAACTTTTTAGTGCCCAACCACCTAAAAAAGAACAAAGAGTAAAAATAAATGAACACAACTATTTTTATACAGGTTCCCTATTAATGAAGTTAATCCAGTTCGCCCGCCAAGGTGATTTTGCTTTCTCAAAAAGCATTAATCTACTATAGTCACCAGATTATAGACACACAAAGACCAATTGTCTTTATCTTCTCGAGTATCCTGACTAAATCCTAGTCACTCAAGGAAACAATCTCAAACAAAAAGATACAAAAGTTGTGTTTACAAGGTTGCTTCAAAAAGCAGATTACACAAAGTTTAAGTACAAATAAATATGTACACAATAATAAACAAAAGCTTTATGTCAAGTTTCTATCTATATTCACACAAAAAATAGTATGTTCAACAAAAGCGTTGTAGCATGAATAGAGTAGCGGAATCATCAAAACTTAGCAGCT